AAAAAAAAAAGTGAGATTCTGCCAACTTTATTTAAACTTTTTTTTAACTTTATTTTTGTCTTTCAAGACTATTTCATCTTGGCCCGGTACAGTGGCTCTTGTCTGTAATACCAGCAACTGAAGAACCTAAGGGAAGATGATGGTTCGAGCCCACAAGTTTGAGGCTGTGGTGAACTATATGATTAGACCACTGCATTCCTAGCTGAGCAACAGAGACTACTTTGCGCTTTCTGACTTTACTGTGATTTCAAATGTAGAAAATGAAAAACATGTAAAAATTACTCCCAAAGGCCATAGCCTAAAAAAAATTCCTCAAATGTTAGCAGGTAGTATAGAATGGTATCTCTCAGTTAAAAATAAAAATGTTTAGATGGGTGCAGTGGTTCATGCCTATTAATTCTAGCACCCTGGGAGGCCAAAGCAGGAGAATCACTTGAGGTCAGGAGGTCAAGACCAGCCTGAGTAAAGCAAGATCTTATTTCTGCTAAAATAGAAAAATTAGCTGGGTGTCATGTGGGTGCCTGTAGTACTCAGGAGGCTGAGGTAGGAGGATAGCTTAAGCGCAGGAGTTGGACGTTGCTGTGAGCTAGGCTAAGGCCATGGCACTCTAGCCCAACCAAGAACAAACTAAAATAAAATTAAAAACAAAAATGTTTGATCTTTTGAAAAGTGGCACATAACTTCCCAAAATGGGAAATAAAATCAACTTTCGAATACATGAAAGGACTCATATTGGACTACTTGACAGTTTTATAGTCTATCACTTGTACCTTCAAAAGTTTGCAAGAGAAAAAGTACTTCCATATTCTTCATATTTACTATGTTTTTCTCAAATGTAAGTTCTTTCATGTTTTTAAAAGTACTGGAAAATTGGAAGGCTTTACCAAATTTTTTCATTTATAGGATTTCTGCAAGTGAGTCCTTTCATGATTTACAAAAGAAGAGGGCCAATAAAATGCTTTCCCGCACTCCTTACATTTATATGTTTTCTCTCCAGTGTGAGTTTTTTCATGTATTTTTAAGTATTTCAAACTAGTGTAGGCTCTGCCACATGTTTTACATGAATAGGGTTTTTCTCCAGTGTGGGACCTTTTATGTCTTTTAAGGGAACTGAGAGAATAGTATGCTTTTCTACACTCCTTACATTCATAAGGTTTCTCTCCAGTATGAGTCCTTTCATGTATTCGAAAGGACTTGGGACAAATGAAGGCTTTCCCACATTCATTACACTCATATGCCTTCACTCCACTGTGTGTTCTTTCATGTAATCGAAGGGAACTAGAAACACTGAAAACTTTCCCACATTGTTTACATTCATAGGGTTTCTCTCCAGTGTGAGTCACTTCATGTCGACGAAAGAAACTGGGAGAATCAAAGGCCTTCCCACATACCTCACATTTAAGAGGTCCATCTCCAGTGTGCGTTATCATGTGTCTTCGAAAGCATGTACGAAAAGAAAATGCTCTCCCACATTGCTTACATTCATAGGGTTTTTCTCCAGTATGACACCTTTCATGTACTTTAACAAAATAGGGACAACTAAAGGCTTTCCCACACTGTTTACATTTATAGGGTTTCTCTCCAGTATGAGTTCTTTCATGTCTTAGATAGGATCTGTAACTGGGGAATGCTTTAGAACACTGCTTACATTCATATAGTCTCTCTCCAGTATGAGATCTTTTATGTAAACGAAATAAACTATACAAATCAAAGGCTTCTGCACAAAATTTACACTTAAAAGGTCCACCTCCACTGTGCCTTACCATGTGTCTTTGAAAGTTTCTATGGACAGTGAAGGTTTTTCCACATTCCTCACAATCAAAGGGTTTCTCTCCAGTGTGAGGCCTTTCATGTGTTTGAAAGGAGGGGCTGTAACTGAAGGCTTTCCCACGTTGTTTGCTGATATATGGCTTCTCTCTGTGTTCTTGAAATTCATATGGTTTGTGTCCAGTATCAGCTCTGATGTGCCAATTAACAGATGAATGATCACTGCTGCCTCCTCCACACACACGGTTTTCACCTGCTTTTACCCCAGGGGGAGTTTTCTTGTTCACAATGTCATCTGGAATCTGGCTGAAGATGTCTCTACCTTTACTCCCTTCTTTACCTTCAGACAGTCTCTCTACCATATGATTTCTGTAAAAAAATGAGACGCATATAGCCAAGCATTATAAATGAATTTATCTTTACTACAGGGTGTGCACATTTTAAACATTATAATGATATGTAGGCTTTATATACTATTTGCTTTTTTTTTTTTTCAGACATTCAGAGTCTCACTTGGTCACCCTTGTTAGAGTGCTGTGGTGTCTTAGTTCATAGCAACCTCAAACTCTTGGGCTAAAGTGATCCTTTTGCCTCAGCCTCCCAAGTAACTGGGACTACAGGGACCCACCACAACACCCAGCTATTTTTTTGTTGTTGCCATTGTGGTTCTTTTTTGTTT